AAACAGTTGACTAAAAGACGCAGAGGGGCTCGACCGAAACGAATTAGTTCTGATGTCAAAATGGACTTGAGCGAAAGAAACACATCATCTCACGGTTGCTATAGCAACCAAAACGTCCCAAAACGAACACGGCTCGACCGGAACGAAAACAATCAAATCTGACGACTTTCAAAACTGCCACAAAGCAGTTAACGTAAGTTCTCTCATTCAATACAGTCAGTCGTCAGTACAAATATGAAAAAAAGACAAAAGAAATACGAGAGCGAAAAATCGAAGACAGAGAAAGAAAATTCGAAAAAGACAGTGCGGTAGAACCAAATTGGGTTTTTGTAAACTTTCATCTTGGAAAATTAGTTTTGTTTGAAATGTGCATTTTGAACAAACCCACAAAATGAACTGGTTTTCAAAGTTTCCAAAGGTTGCATCTGTATGCTGTTAAGTACCTAAGATAAACCTTCAATGAGTTTTCAAAAACGAAAACAAAACATCGATCTAGGATATAGTCAACATTAATTTCTCATATGCGACTGGGGTGCGGCGGGAATTGGTACAATTGATCCAAATCATCCATTGTTATCAAAATAGTTGATGATGGGTTGAAAATAGGACATCAGTTACAACAGTAACAGCCGGAGTTCAAACTCAAAAACTCAAAGACCACAGGAATTCCAACAACTGTCCAAGATTCATTTTTCTGACATCACCGAACTTGGTAAAAGTTTGATTAAATAACCAACTTTTTTTCAATTTTAGGCTAAAATTCGGATGTTCAGCTCATTCATTCAATGAAACCAAAGGTCAAAAATCCATTGGGCGGTGAAACTGTTTTTCTGATAAAAAATTGATGCAGCCGACGGTCAACAAAAAAAATTATTGGGGCTGGAAACTATTTTCCTGGTGAAACGTTGATGAAAGCCATAGTCAACGAATAGAAGCATTCAGCCGTGAACATTTTTTCCGGTAAAATTTGATGAAAATGACAATCTTTAAAAAAATTATGGGGCCGGAATAATCTTTTTGACGACAAATTGAACTGAGGCAGGCAAGTTCCAAAAAAGCTGTTCAAGCAAAAGACGTGCAAAAGAAATTAAAACATAAAATTACTGGATTTTCACAAACAAGACTGCTCGTATCAGGGCAAAACCTTGACAGTGTCTACTGCATATTAATTAGTCTCGAATAAACTGGTAAACTAATTATTGACAAAATATGACTTTAGGCTGATAATATCAAAACATTAAAACTTGAGTCTTTGATGGAATTATTTAGACTAATCAATTCAATTTGGAACGATTATGAGTGCGGATTGTTTGCCACGCATAAATAAATTGCGCATTGAAAAAAATTAGGAAAAGTTAATCCAGCAGCCAAGCCGCTTTTTAGTCTAGTGCAAGCATACCCGCTTAGAAATCTAAAGATTTCCGAATCGATGACCATACGCAGTGAACTTTTCTAAGATTAGTCTGAATGAAAAAACCACCCCGAGCATAGATATTCCTCACTGTCTTCAAAAGTCGGAACAACAATCTGCCGAATCTTCGAGCATTAAGCGCTTTCCGTAACTAAAATGTGGATTTTTCAACCGTTACAAATTTTGATCCACTATTAATTTTAATATTTTTTGTTTGTGGGTTCCGCATAATGTTGGTGGATTCTGTTTACGTTGGTTTCTTAGTTTTCTTGAGTAGTTTTTAAGGAGCTGCATAATGTTGAAACCATTTGTCTCTGTTCTCAACAACAGCAAAAAGTGAACAAAAAGTCAAATAAAAGAATCGTGATTCAAATAGAGATATCCAAATTTTTTTGATGTCCGCGTTGTCGTCTAGATCTTTTTGTGCCTTAATTTTGGTGGATTTTTTTAGCAGAGTTTGAGGTATTTCAAAAAACCGTACAGGGGTCAAGTAGTGTATCGAATTGAAACTATTTTGGTCCGAGATTGAATACTAAGAAAATCGAAAAATAGTAATTTGTGTACCGATAAACTAGTCTGAATAGTTTTTTTCAGATTTAAATGCGTAGGAGATTAATTCACTTGCCCAATTTTTTTGTACAAATTTCAAAATATCTTTGCCTAAGTTATTTGAAACTTAGTGTTTAACCCTCTCCTGTCCTACCTGAAACAACAAAGATTTTGAAACAACAATCCTACCTGAAACAACAAAGATTTTGAAACAAAAATGAATTTTTCTTTTGTTCCTGTTTTTTCAGATTTTTAATTCGAAACATTCATTTAAGTCGAAACATTCTATACTACTTGCAGAGTTACTAGTCTTGTTGTGTGTTTTATTAAGTTACATTTGGTATGAATAAGTCTTCTAATAAACCAAGAATCGCAGTACGTTAGCATTAGTTTCGTCAGTCTAGTCTGTTGAAGTGATTTCATTTTGGTCAACTGATTTCTGTTTTTTTTTGCTGTCATAACTGGATACAATTTTGACAGAGGGGTCCCAAAAAACTGCTTCAGTTTTCAAGTTTATAGCGACGATGTAACATCAATAAGTTTGGGTAATCTGCTTAGATTAGATAAAAATTGAGAAAAATCCCTGGGAAACGACCGAGCTGTTTCTCTTATTTAGTAAATTGCTGCTCTTGCTTATAACTAGTCTGACACTGGACCTTATTTTTTTCATAACTAGTTTTTGTAGGGAACCCTCTATCAAAATTAAACCCGTTAATAAGTTCTTCAGATGCAAATCATTCGTACGAACTCCTCGAAGTTTATTCGCCCATCTGAGTCCTGATCAGCTGCGCGTAGCACTTCGTCCAACTCATGCTCATTCAATCTCTCACCCATACTCGACATTATGTACCTAAAGTGAACAATCATAGAAGTCAAATTATTGAAGAGACTCAGCATTATTTTGTAACCGGTCCAAGCGCTGGTCTAGGGTTTTCTCGAGGGAGGAACTTTAAAATTTTTAAAGTTTCTCGAAGGAGGAATTCAAAAAAATTTGGCGCGCGCATTACTCTCAAAATATTAGGGACGGTTGGTCGAAAACTGTTGTCGTAAAAAAACAAAAAATAGACCCTTTGGGTGGCTTGAGGGCCGAATTACCGATGTGAAACTGGGCGTTGCCTTTTGCGTATTGAAGCGAAAACGCCAATGATATGTTTTGAATTTTAACTCTATCGATATAGGGGAGCCTAATTGAAATCATTGGGTGAATGAACCTACTTGAGTTCGTCGGGTGTGATGTAGCCGTTGCCGTCGCAGTCAAACACTCGGAATGCATCCCGCAACTCTTCCTCTGTCACTGTGTCGTCCATCTTCATCGTCATCAGATTCACAAACTCACCAAAGTCAATGATACCGTTGCCTAGCAACAGATCAAAAAAATATGAGTTAAAAACAAACAAATTCTCAAACTCAAACTTATCATCAAATGTTTTAGATGTTTTTTGCTATTTTTGCAGCACTTTTGCTGGATGAAAATTGGCCAAAATGTCTTTTTTTGAGTAATTTTTTCAACATCTGTCTAAAATATTGCTTATCAACTGTAGCAAATGACAATCAACATGTTTCACATCATTGTCAAAAACCGAGATTCGTTCATTAAAACATAGAAGGTAACATCTACTGAGCTTGTTTCTGTGCAAAAAAGTGCGTGAAACATTCTTAGGTTTAGTGTGCAGTTTTTTTTAAAATTTATTGCTCAGACTAATTTAGATTCAGTTTTCACCATAAAGTGTCTTGCACTAGAAGTGTTATTAAATTCACTACTAACCATCTGTGTCGATTTGGTTAATGAGGTCTCGTAGCTCTGCTTGGGACAAAGTCTGGCCGAGTGACTTCATAACCACATCTGAACATCAAAAACCAGAACACATTAATTAACAGTTTCAACCCTATTCTCAATTTTGATAGCTGTTTTTAAAGTAATCTGTTCAGTACTATTTTCAGGTCTCGTTTTTTAGTCGGTCAAACCAACGCTTTTCGGAAACTGATTTGTTGGCATACTGCTTATGAAAATAAAGCAACTATCTAGCTCTCGAACCGAGGCGCGCAGCTTATGTCAAGATTGAAGCGATGACCCCGATGACCTATTTCAGGCCTGCTGCGATGCTTGCGACTCAAGAAAGAAAAGAAATGCGCATGAACTTTTTTCTTTTTTGTCGGCCTTCCCCAAAACTATCATATTACAAACCCCAATACAACTATATTTAGCAAAAGTTTATGCGCAGTTTTGAGCATTTTTGGAAAGTTTTGACCCAAAATTTTCGTTTTTTCAATGCAAGCTCCCCCTCAAAATTTAAAAAATGGCACCAAAGGCACCTTCAGAAAAAATTAGGTTTCCTCGGCCCGATATGGATGTCGTAAAATTGTACCAAAATAACACCCCCTGAGGACCAAAAGAGCCAAAAACCTTCCTGTTGAGGTTATTTACCAATTATTTTTGTCATTTTTTGCAAGGAAAGGACAAACGAGGATATTTTGCTTCAATAAAATCTGGTTGAAAAGTAATGTAGAAATTTGTTATTCTATGAGCTTCATCTAGTCGATGGCATACTTGATGTAGTATATAGTGTATTTAGTTGGGTTGGTATACTATTAATTTACGTACTTGATACATGCTCCCATTTAGGTAAAAAGTAGGTTTTTTATTGATTGCTTAAGACTATTTGTAAGATTGTAACTATACAATTTCTCTAACCTAGTTCACTAGTGGTTATAACTCCGTCTCCGTCTTTGTCAAACACTAGGAATGCCTCCCTCATCTCCTCAAGTTGCTCACGAGTCATGTTCTTAATCGCGTCTCTCTGCTTTCCACTCATATTTGATCGGTCAAGGTTGAAGTGCTGAAAAGGGTCAAAAGTGGTCACTACGCCACCTGATGAGTTCGGAGAGCTCATTTTGGGGTCAGTGTTAGTCTGAGAAATGGCACCGCAAAAGTGTTCTTGCTCGACGTTCGAAGATTCGATTATGCTCTTTAAAGATTACAAAAAATTGAAATTTGCCGTTTTTTCCAATTAAATAATTACCGGTTGAGTTTTCTCAATTTTGGGCAAATGGGTCTGTTTTTGAGGAAACTGATGTTTTACTTGGATTTTTGTCTGATAACTATCAGTTCTTGCTCCAGTTTTGAGTGAGATATTTTCGAACAAAAATTGTTCAAACGCAGATTTCTTAGGAAAAACTGCTATGACGTAGAAATTTCAGATGGCTCAAGATTTAAAGTTTTACAAAATATAGTTTTTGATACTTAAAATTCCAAAAAAATTAGCAGTCTTATTTCAAAAAGAAATAAACAATTTGTAGAAACTGGACAAACAAAAACATGTTTGTGGCGGCTAAATTTCAATTTTTATGGAGATAAAAAAATCCGACAGTTGAATCGAAAGGATCGGAAACTGCTATAATGGGAATATTTCCACGCAGAGGTGTAAAATTCATCATCAACTGACGATAGAAATTACGTAATTTTTTCTCAAACGCTCTTTTTTTTTCACGTGATGACGTTTAATAAAAAAAACTACATCGCTTTCTTTGTTCACACTTTTCGGTTGATTAAACGTAATTGCACCTTTAAATTTTACTATTTTAGACAATCTATTCGAAAACAGGTGAGTGTCGAATTAGATTCCTTTGAGGCCCAGAGGTTTATGAAATGGTATTCAATTGAGTTTTCATACCATTAAGAGAAGAAACAATATTTAAACCTTTTAGATGATTTCATAGTCGTCAGTTTAATGAGCCGTGTAGTTTGATGTTTTGTGAAAAGCGATGACAGATTCATTGGCACAAATTTACACTGTTGATTATTTACACAAAAATTGTGGTGGAATGTTAATTAAAGCAGCCCAAAGTTTTTCACTTGAAAAGTTTTTTCCTGTATATAGCCTGCGTATTACATTTTACAAAAAGAAATTGTTCTCGTATACAGGTCTTACCTTTTTCTCAAGGGTTATTCCTTCCACTCTTTATCGAAATTGTGAAATGTCAGCTTAGTTCTGCAAAAAATCGACAGAAGATATAGATTAAAGTAAATTTGGCGAAATAAGAAGGAACGCAGATGGTCGCATGAATAAATAAACACCGCACGGATATTAAATTATACCTGTTTACTTTATGTGCATACAAGTGAGTTTTTCTGGCGCAAAGTTATCCATAGGTGATTTAAAAAGAAGGTAACTGCTACTTTTTCCTTCAGATAGAAAAGATATATATACGCTTTTATATATTTTCATCCTCAAAATATCCAAAATAGATAACACAACCTGAAAAGCGATAGTTGTAGGTTGAATTTTGGTGGCTATGCCTAGCATGGATTGACATAACGGTGTATATGGAAAGTATTTGGAATTTCTCTGAGACAATGGCTGACATTTATTGACCGCTATTTGACGTGATATTGAACAAGAGGCTTTCTATTTTTGGAAAGAAAAATCATTGATTAGATCACTGATCGGAGCATCCAATTTTCTTGAGCACACCATTCAAACCCAATTTTCCCGGCCTGTTGAGGTGTGCCAAATGCACTCCTATAAGAGGCTGAAATCACTTCTTACCGTAACGCAATTTGCCCAACTTGTCTGACTAAAACGAGTAAATTTAGCAGACCATTGAATTTCTAAACTTTGTGAGCCCAAAACCTGTTTGGGCGAATTATGATCTACGTGCACAAAAATTTTTGGATGAATAGAAGTGAGAAGATCCAAAATTAATTCTGAAATGAGTTTTTTCCAGGTTAACAAGGTTTTTGGCTTATTTTCTAAATGTTTGGCCACTCTTTCAAAAGATCCATTTTTTTAATTTTTTTTTGCGTGTTATTACGTCTACATGCGCGATGTTACGATGTAAGGTATGATATTCAAAACAGAGATATTTTGCCATGAATGGTCTTTTCGTTTCATTCAGTTTCCCATTTATGGTTGCTTTTCTATACGTCAAAAGTTACAGAGTGATCAAGTATCTAGTGCGCGGGCTTACATTTACGTTAGAAGTCAATTAAGAATCAACAAACAAAATACTAATTAGCATTAACATCCTCGGGGGAGCTTTTTAGGCTTTCCCAAGGATGAACCAAAGCCAATTTTACGAGGGGTCTGGTTAATTTGCTTAGCAGTGTTTTTACAACTCACGAACGCGCTATGCCATCAGTCCCGAAGAATATTTCTGTCACTCGTCCAAGCGGCCAAATTTTCCTTGGAGTATAATCCTCGAGTATCCAAACGATGTCATTGACTCGAAGCGCCCTGCTGGCTGGCTCCATTTTGTACGGTGTATGAGAATGGGTTCATACTTTCGAAGAAGGCGTTTCCAGAAGATGTCCAATCTTTTTTCACGATTCTCCATGACTTTGAAGCGAGTGTGCCACGGAAGGCACGAGAGGGAGGACTAGTGATTACTACTACCAATGTGTCCCATCAAACACGAAGAGAAGAACCAGCGGAGACTGGTTCAACCAGAAGCAAGTATGCCGCAGAGGGCACGACAGGGAGGATTAGTGATTACTAGTACCGACGTGTCTCGAGACAGAAAAAGAAGAACCAGCAGAGACTGGTTCAACCAAAATCAAATGTTCGACGGAAAGCACACTGGAAAAACTCTAGTGATTACTAGTACCAATATGTCCCGAGAGAGTCGAAGAAGAACCAGCGGAGACTGGTTCAACCGGAAACGAGTGTGCCAAGGAAAGAACGGGAAAGAACGCTAGTGATTACTAGTACCGATGTGTCTCGAGAGACGCGAAGAAGAACCAGCAGAGACTGGTTCAACCTGGAGCAAATATGCACAGAAAGCACGGGAAAAACACTTATGATTACTAGTACCACTATGTGCCGAGAGAGACGAAGAAGAACCAGCGGAAACTGGTTCAACCAGAAACAAAAAAGCCGCAGAGGGCACGACAGGGAGGATTAGTGATTACTAGTACCGACGTGTCTCGAGACACAAAAAGAAGAACCAGCAGAGACTGGTTCAAAAAAAATCAAATGTTCGACGGAAAGCAAACTGGAAAAACTCTAGTGATTACTAGAACCAATTTGTCCCGTGAGAGACGAAGAAGAACCAGTGGAGACTGGTTCAACCGGAAACGAGTGTACCAAGGAAGGAACGGGAAAGATCACTAGTGATTCTTAGAACCGATGTGTCTCGCGAGACGCGAAGAAGAACAAGCAGAGACTGGTTCAGCCTGGAGCAAATAAGCACGGAAAGCACGGGAAAAACACTTATGATTACTAGTACCACTATGTGCCGAGAGAAACGAAGAAAACCAGTGAAAACTAGTTCAACCAGAAGCAAGTATACCAGAGAGGGCCAGACAGGGACGATTAGTGATTGCTAGTACCGTCGTGTTACGAAACACACGAAGAAGAACCAGCAGAGATTGGTTCACCCAAAATCAAATGTTCGACGGAAAGCACACGGGAAAAACACTAGTGATTACTAGTACCAATTTGTGCCGTGACAGACGAAGAAGAACCAGCGGAAACTGGTTCAACCAGAAGCAAGTATGCCGCAGAGGGCACGACAGGGAGGATTAGTGATTACTAGTACCGACGTTTCTCGGGTCACAAATAGAAGAACCAGCAGACACTGGTTCAACCAAAATTAAATGAGCCACGAAAGCCACGGGAAAAACATTAATGATTACTAGAACCAATATGTCCCGAGAAAAATGAATATGAACCAGCAGAGACTGCTCCAGCCGGAAACAAGTGTGCCACGGAAGGAACGGGAAAAACACTAGTGATTACTAGTACCAATATGTCCCGAGAGAGACGAAGAAGAACCAGCAGAGACTGGTTCAACCTGGAGCAAATATGCACAGAAAGCACGGGAAAAACACTTATGATTACTAGTACCACTATGTGCCGAGAGAGACGAAGAAGAACCAGTGGAGACTGGTTCAACCGGAAACGAGTGTGCCAAGGAAGGAACGGGAAAGAACACTAGTGATTACTAGTACCGATGTGTCTCGAGAGACGTGAAGAAGAACCAGCAGAGACTGGTTCAACCTAGAGCAAATATGCACAGAAAGCACGGGAAAAACACTTATGATTACTAGTACCACTATGTGCCGAGAGAGACGAAAAGAACCAGCGGAAACTGGTTCAACCAGAAGCAAGTATGCCGCAGAGGGCACGACAGGGAGGATTAGTGATTACTAGTACCGACGTTTCTCGGGTCACAAATAAAAGAACCAGCAGACACTGGTTCAACCAAAATTAAATGAGCCACGAAAGCCACGGGAAAACACTAATGATTACTAGTACCACTATGTGCCGAGAGAGACGAAAAGAACCAGCGGAAACTGGTTCAACCAGAAACAAGTATGCCGCAGAGGGCACGACAGGGTGGATTAGTGATTACTAGTACCGACGTGTCTCGAGACAGAAAAAGAAGAACCAGCAGAGACTGGTTCAACCAAAATCAAATGTTCGACGGAAAGCACACTGGAAAAACTCTAGTGATTACTAGTACCAATTTGTCCCGTGAGAGACGAAGAAGAAGGTACGGGAAAGATCACTAGTGGTTACTAGTACCGATGTGTCTCGCGAGACGCGAAGAAGAACAAGCAGAGACTGGTTCAGCTTGGAGCAAATATGCACGGAAAAAACGGGAAAAACACTTATGATTACTAGTACCACTATGTGCCGAGAGAAACGAAGAAGAACCAGCGGAAACTGGTTCAACCAGAAGCAAGTATGCCAGAGAGGGCCAGACAGGGACGATTAGTGATTACTAGTACCAACGTGTTACGAAACACACGAAGAAGAACCAGCAGAGACTGGTTCAACCAAAATCAAATGTTCGACGGAAAGCACACGTGAAAAACACTAGTGATTACTAGTACCAATTTGTGCCGTGAGAGACGAAGAAGAACCAGCGGAAACTGGTTCAACCAGAAGCAAGTATGCCGCAGAGCGCACGACAGGGAGGATTAGTGATTACTAGTACCGACATGTCTCGGGTCACAAATAGAAGAACCAGCAGACGCTGGTTCAATCAAAATTAAATGAAACACGAAAGCCACGGGAAAAACACTAATGATTACTAGAACCAATATTTCCCGAGAAAAATGAAAAAGAACCAGCAGAGACTGCTCCAGCCGGAAACAAGTGTGCCACGGAAGGAACGGGAAAAACACTAGTCATTACTAGTACCGATGTGTCTCGAGAGACGCGAAGAAGAACCAGCAGAGACTGGTTCAACTGGGAGCTAATATGCACAGAAAGCACGGGAAAAACACTTATGATTACTAGTACCACTATGTGCCCAGAGAGACGAAGAAGAACCAGCGGAAACTGCTTCAACCAGAAACAAGTATGCCGCAGAGGACACGACAGGGAGGATTAGTGATTACTAGTACCGACGTGTCTCGAGACACAAAAAGAAGAACTAGCAGAGACTGGTTCAACCAAAATCAAATGTTCGACGGAAAGCACACTGGAAAAACTCTCTTGATTACTAGTACCAATTTGTCCCGTGAGAGACGAAGAAGAACCAGTGGAGACTGGTTCAACCGGAAACGAGTGTACCAAGGAAGGAACGGGAAAGATCACTAGTGATTACTAGTACCGATGTGTCACGAGAAACGCGAAGAAAAACCAGCAGAGACTGATTCAACCTGGAGCAAATATGCACAGAAAGCACGGGAAAAACACTTATGATTACTAGTACCAGTATGTCCCGAGAGAAATGAATAAGAACTAGCAGAGACTGCTCCAGCCTGAAACAAGTTTGCCACGGAATGAACGGAAAAAACACTAGTGATTACTAGTACCAATATGTCCCGAGAGAGACGAAGAAGAACCAGCGGAGACTGGTTCAACCTGGAGCAAATATGCACAGAAAGCACGGGAAAAACACTTATGATTACTAGTACCACTATGTGCCCAGAGAGACGAAGAAGAACCAGCGGAAACTGGTTCAACCAGAAACAAGTATGCCGCAGAGGGCACGACAGGGAGGATTAGTGATTACTAGTACCGACGTGTCTCGAGACACAAAAAGAAGAACTAGCAGAGACTGGTTCAACCAAAATCAAATGTTCGACGGAAAGCACACTGGAAAAATTCTATTGATTACTAGTACCAATTTGTCCCGTGAGAGACGAGGAAGAACCAGTGGAGACTGGTTCAAACGGAAACGAGTGTACCAAGGAAGGAACGGCAAAGATCACTAGTGATTACTAGTACCGATATGTCTCGAGAGACGCGAAGAAAAACAAGCAGAGCCTGGTTCAGCCTGGAGCAAATATGCACGGAAAGCACGGGAAAAACACTTATAATTACTAGTACCAATATGTGCCGAGAGAGTCGA